GTCAAGATATTATTATTATTCTTAATTAGTTTATTATTAATATTACTAAAATAATAGATGATGTTGTTTAATTAGTTTATTATTATTGTCATTGATTAATAGATAGCTACTACAAAGGAATACACAGACAACCTCTGGTATCACTTGTACTCTATAATCAGAATACCCAACGAAAGCTATTTCAAAAGTGAGCGTGAATGTCAATCAATATGGATTGATAAGCAATTACGCCTGATTGATCAATCACTCTCTAAACATTACCCAACATGTATGAGCCTGTCGTTAAACCGTCGATCGTTTGCGCAACCCATCCCCTAAACGAGCGCCTACGTGCGTTACGAAGCAATAGAAAGTTGAACGGCGACTGGTGAGAATAGTGAAAATGTCTCCATTTTATTATTTTCGTACGTGTGTAGGAAAGAATTACGTGAAATGACAAATGCTATAAATAATTTATATGTTGCTAATGTTAAAGAATGTAAGAGGGCGCAAACTCTCAGTAACTGACAACAGGCTGAATACATTGAACGAATATTCATATTGTAAGACCTACTTGTAACATTGTATTCTGCAAATAAATAAATAATAAAAAAATAAAAAAAATGGAAATCTTATCAAGAACCAGTAGAACTGGCTCTTCGTGATTTCAGTATATGTAGCTATTTACATTATGCCCAATTTACACTCAGCCCGAGTGGGCAGGGAAGTGAGCAGCGCGAGAGTGTAAACACGAGTGGAAACACTTCCCATGCCATTGGCGCTGCCACTCGCGCTACCCGGCGCTCCCTCAATTGTCGGTTTTTCGTGCGCGAGTCAAAGGACTGGCAGCGTGTTTTTACATTCAGCCCTCTCGCTCAGTTGTCGCCCGGCAATATTTCCGGCAGCGCGAGTGGCAGGGGAAGCGGCTGAATGTAAACATAGCGTATAGCTATCAAATCACTACATAGTATAAAACAATGTTGCTGTCGCTGTCTGTCCGTCTCTATGTATGCTTAAATCTTTAAAACTACGCAACGGATTTTGAAGCGATTTTTTTAATAGATAGAGTGTAAGCTATCAAGTAGCTAGTATATAATATAAAACAGAATATAATTTTTAATTATTCTTATTAATTTTATTAGTATACTAGCAACTCGCCCCAGCTTCGCCCGAGTGTACATGTATTATTATATATATAAACCTTCCTCTAGAATCACTCTATCTATTAAAAAAAACGCTTCTAAATCCGTTGCGGAGTTTCAAAGATTCAAGAGGAAGATTTATATGTATAATACATACATACATACACCCGTGCGAAGCCGGGGCAAGTAGCTAGTAATATTATGAAGTAGGGATGTTTGTTTCGCATTCACGCAAAATCTACTGAACCGATCATCATGAAATTTTGTACATATGTTCTTGGAGGTATTAGACTAAACATCCGATACTATTTATTTAAAAAAAAACTAATATTTTTTATTCAATGCGAGCGAAGCCGCGATTAAAAGCTAGTAATATTATTAAAGCAAATGTTTGTAAGTATGGATGTTCGTTACTGTTTCACGCAAAAACTACTGAACGAATTTTGATGAAACTTTACAATAATATAGCTTATTTATCAGAATAACAAATAGACTATATTTTATATTGAAATTAGGCATATATAGGCATAGCTAGTGTAAAATAAAGAACTAATAAATATACAATTATCTTGTACAATGAACATCTCATACGGTGGCTGTTTTACTTTCATCTAACAAGTGGCAGGTGCCGGTAGGCCTACTCGTCCGACCAGCCGCTAACTATTGCCCTAGTTAACAACGCAAGTTTGGACATAGCAAACCTTTTTTATTTAGATAGATAACAGTGGTTCCCAAGCAGCGGTCCGCAGGTTATAAATTGTGCGGCCGAGACAAAATGCGGACCGCACAATTTTTTATTTTTTTATACTATGTATTAACATGGATTTCATTAGTGATAGTCTCGGTGGTCTAGCGGTTTAGCTAGCATACCGCTTTATTTCAGATGGTCGCGGATTCGATTCCTCGCACGGTACAAGCATTTGTATTCATGAATGAATGTTTGTATCGATCTGGATGTTTTCCAACAAAAAAATAATTAAATAATAATAAACATTTTTAATAAATAACACAAAAGCTTTCATTCACACAAATAAACAATATATGTTATCCAACACGGCACATCGAGGTAGCTAAGATACTATGTTGTCTCTTTGAATAGCCATGTTAACCTTCTAGGTAAAGTAACTACAATTTCTCAGGTCATAATTAACCTCGATAAACTTGATGAACAGCTAGTATTATGTGAACTAGTCATTTAATCATATGGTTTCTATCAACATGCAAATTAATATTATAAATATTAGTCTTATTAATATTATAAATGCGAAAGTTTGTGAGTATGTATGGATGTTTGTTAATCTTTCATGCAAAAACATTAGCGGATTTTGATGAAACTTCACAGTAATTCAGCTTTTTAGTTACCTATAACAACAAATCAAGTGGTCCGCAGTCAAAAAAGGTTGGTAACCACTGATTGCTCTTATCCTTATTTAGTTCCTTATAACAACAAATAAAGCGGTCCGCAGTTAAAAAGTTTGGTAACCACTGATTGCTCTTATCCTTATTTAGTTCCTTATACACAACAAATAAAGCGGTCCGCAGCCAAAAAAGTTTGGTAACCACTGATTGCTCTTATCCTTATTTAGTTCCTTATACACAACAAATAAAGCGGTCCGCAGCCAAAAAAGGTTGGTAACCACTGATTGCTCTTATCCTTATTTAGTTCCTTATACACAACAAATAAAGCGGTCCGCAGCCAAAAAAGTTTGGTAACCACTGATTGCTCTTATCCTTATTTAGTTCCTTATAACAACAAAAAAAGCGGTCCGTAGTAAAAAAAGGTTGGTAACCACTGATTGCTCTTATCCTTATTTAGTTCCTTATAACAACAAATAAAGCGGTCCGCAGTTAAAAAAGGTTGGTAACCACTGATTGCTCTTATCCTTATTTAGTTCCTTATAACAACAAATAAAGCGGTCCGCAGTTAAAAAAGGTTGGTAACCACTGATTGCTCTTATCCTTATTTAGTTCCTTATAACAACAAATAAAGCGGTCCGCAGTCAAAAAAGGTTGGTAACCACTGATTGCTCTTATCCTTATTTAGTTCCTTATAACAACAAATAAAGCGGTCCGCAGTCAAAAAAGGTTGGTAACCACTGCTTAGGAACAAGTTTACAACGTTGTTAACAAGAGCACCGGTTTCGGTAGACAGTAGGTGAATCATTTAAATCAATGGATTATATAGACGGTGATGCTGCTCTTAGTGCCAAAATGTAACCCAAATTTGCGTGCCTACAGTGAAAGCTACACTGCGAGTTATTGAGAGGTGAAAGACCTATTATGTACTAATTTTGTTATATACTTATTAAATCGCAGTCTCTATAAATATATCTGAGACATTTGACGGTCTCGATGGTTTAGTGGTTTAGCACATCGCTTTACTTCCGATGGCCGCGGGTTCGATTCCTCTCACGGCATAAACATTTGCATTTATGAAGTCTAGGTGTTTTCTATATACAATATGAATGTATTTACTAAAAAAATATCTATGTATATGTATCAGTTATCTATAACATTACATATGCTTAAGCTAGCTTAACTTGTGTCTAGATGGCGATGTGTAAATTGTCATGAGATTAAAAAAAAGAACATAGAACATGTAGAATAATTTAATTAATAATAATAATAGTATCCCAGGACAATTCACGCGGTGTTATTTAGTCCCAATCTAAGCAAAGCTTGTTTATGGGTACTAGAGAACTGATATAAATGCTTAGATACATATTTTGAAATGCCAGGATTGACACATTCAAAAGTCCTAATATCGAGCTACTCGAACAAATACTCCAATAGACTACTGCTATTGAGTAAAAACAACATATGCATGATGACTAGGGCCCTCACAGGACACTGCAAATTACACAAGCATATGGCAAAACTAGGCCTACACAACAAAAAACTGCAGATTCTGCCATACTGAAAAGGAAACGCCACTACACATCCTATGTGGTTGTAGCCCACTCATGCATAAACGAAATATCTCCTTTGGAAAGTTTACACTCTGTCCCGAGGAGATAAAAACCATCGCTCCTAAGAATATCATTTAATTCTTGAATAGGCAGCGATAGATCTATGTAGGTCGCAGTGCTACAGGTGCTACAAACATCTGACAATAGCCCTAAAAACCCTATAAAAAAAACACATTTTTGTAAATACATAAATAATATACATAGAAAGAGGCCAGACCAATACAAACAATCACACTCATGAATACAAATGTTTGTACCGTGCGAGGAATCGAACTCGCGACCATTGGAAGTAAGGCGGTCTACCGAACCGCTAAAATAGAGGCCGTCACTGACTGGTTTTATAAATTCACAACTGCAAGTCACGTAAATAATGTTTTGAAATTAAACTAAAAATAGAAACTTGTATAAAAACGTAATAAATTTGGAGCCATTCATAAAATCTTTTTACTATAAGTCTTTCGACACTTTTCTCTTTCTAAAACTTTTTGCATGTGTAGGCATCGTTTAAAATAAATATTGTAACTTTTAATCTAAATAGCTAGAAATTAAGTGTTATAAAAATATTATTACATACAATCGCAAAACTGTACGACTTTTTTACATAACCCTCACATTTCTCTGATCCTTTTCCCACCAAACACCACCTGAAACTTATAATAAAACCACGATATAATGCCAATAATCTTTATAAATAAGAATTACGTGTCACGTTGCGACGTCCGCGATAGACTCCTAAACTACTGAACCGAATGCAAATTTGATTTGCATCTTAAGTGCAATTTGATCTAACTTGAAAGATAGGATGGCTTACATCTCAATTTATAGTCGCTATAACAAGAATCTTAGCCACAGCAACGCATGGCCGGGTCTGCTAGTTGTAAAAATAACAAGGATAATATTTCGCAAGTAGGTGACATGGACAGCAGGCAGCGCCGGGTATGACTACGCGTCGTCGTGCGCGCGACCCCACCGCGCGGGCCGAGCTCGGGCGCCGGCCGCGCCCTGCGACCTCACCAAACAGAGCTTCTGCACAACTCCCGGCACCAACTACCCGTGGCATGCCATCAGGAGATTTGTTAGAGAGAACCAAGTGAGTACATTTACCTAGTGTGTGCTTTTTACCTTCTCAATGTAAATCATCATCAACATCATCATCGCAGCCCGGAAGACGTCCACTGCTGGACATAGGCCTCCCCCAAAGATCTCCACGATGATCGATCCTGCGCTGCTTGCATCCAATGCCTTCCAGCGATCTTGATCAGATCGTCGGTCCACCTTGCTGGAGTCTTTCCCACGCTGCGTCTTCCGGTCCGTGGTCGCCACTCGAGGACTCTATGTAAATAGTACCTGTCAATAGCAGGTTGTCTGTAAGAAATTGCTGTTAGCGATAAGACCGCCTTTTGTGTAACATTTTTATTGTACTTTATTGTTCTTTGTTCGTCTGTACGCAATAAAGAGTAATTATTATTATTATTACATTATTTGATACTACCGATTTGCTTCAGCTTCTAACAGATTCAATTATTGTAGGTACTATTAGTTATTAAATAAAATTCAGTCCATATTATTTGACCATAATGTTTTATTACGCTTAAGTATTTACCTGCAACCTTTTCTGAGAGATCAAGTCATGTGAATGGACTAGCATAAACTAGTACAATAAGCCAGAATAGTGAGTACCTATTTGAAAATTTTATATTAACACAGTTTATTTCAATCAATTTCAGGGTCTGATGCGGAGAATGTATGGAGAAGAGCGTCACATATCAGTATTGAAAGCAGAACTGGAAAATTTCATAGAAGTCGATGGGGAAGACGATATCAAAAAACCTACAAATTTTGCTGAAGATATAATCAAAACGAAAATGATGTACACAAAGAGAGGCTCCGGACGTGTCATGAAGGATAAGCCCCACTTCAGACCGATCCAATCAGCTATTAGAGACCAAAACAAGAAAGGTGAAAACGATACACTTAAAGTGAAACCACTAAACCTGAATACAAAACATAATAAAACTGATGGCGGTAATAAAACAGAAACAACCACTAATAAAACTGATAATATAGAAAAAGGCATTTCCTACAAGACTAAACTTGAAAGTATAGCTAATATAGAGATAAATAACTTAGACCCCGATATCATCACTTTAGAAGCCGTTATAAAACAAAGTATTGAAACAAATGGTGTCTTTAATGATCCACCTGGAGATTCTAAAAGCGAGCCTATTGTATTTGACGAAAAGAATAAAACAGCGCAAAGTAAGAACACTACTTTAGAAAATATTATAAATACAACAGAGAATTTAACTGAAGACTATGATGATTTGACTACAGAATCCGACAAAGATGGCTTCAAATCTATGAATGCAGATATGTCTACTTTACCGCCTACACTTCTGTTTTCAGAACACGAAAAGATTAATACAAAAGTTGATAAAATGGATGTAAAAGTTACTGACAAAAAACCAATCCAACATCAAGAAAGTTTGCGACCAGCTTTTATAAAATTACGAGGAGCGTAAGTCTTTGAATACTTGTTTTTAAGTACCTTTATCATTGCATATTTTATTGCCTCTGTCCTCATGAAGAGAAATGTCAATAAATACACAAGAGATAAAATCAAAAACGATTGCATGGTCTTGAAGTAAGCGGAGAAACAGACAGTTGAAAGAAGCGACTTTGATTTTATAAATTACTAGCATTTGCCAGCGGTTTCGCTCGCGTTAATGTATCCCCTTAGGGGTGGAATTTATCAAAATCCTTTCTTAGGGGATGCCTACGTCATAGTAGCTTTATGCATGCAAAGTCTCAGCCCGATCCGTTTCAAATTGACAAAGTTTCATACAAACTTTCATCCCCTATTTTATCCCTTTAGGGGTAGAATTAATCAAAATCCTTTCTTAGCGGATGCCTGCGCCATAACGTCTAGTGGTTTGGGCTGTGCGTTGATAGATCATTACGTCAGTCACCTTTGAGTTATATATATTTAGATATAGATTTGTGTAACAGACAATTATAACAGAATTTACCAATTATGAAAATTGTTCATTCAGTTATTTTTTGTGATCCTACAATTTTTACACATGTACTATTAATAAATACATTATATACGCATTAGTTCAATCTAAATCTTAAACACCTATTCATGAATTTAATCAAAAAACACCTTGGACAATCTACAAATAAAATAAATTGGTACTTTTTCAGAAACGCATGTGAAACAAAAGAAGAGATGCAAGCGCCTTTCTGGGCCAACAACACCAGAGGAGAAGTACTAGCTCTGCTGAATATGTACCCTTTCGAGCAGTATATACACTTAGAGACCTGCGTCCAGGAGAAGAAGCAAATGTACTGTCGGGAGGGATGCTTGTACGTAGGCAGTTATACATTATTTTATATTTATATTTTGCTAGCTGTACCCGATGTCGTCTGCGTAAAATAGTTGCCTGGACCAAATAATGAATAAATATTTAATAATCTAACCCAATAAAATCCAAATAAAAAAATTCATCGTTTTGGCTTCAAAAACGATGAATTTCCATACATTGCAACACTTATATTCATGGATATGATTGTATATATGATTGTATCGGTCTGGATGTTTTCAATGTATATTATGTACTAAATGTTTGTGCTTTATTTTTCTAAAATAAAAGTTGCCTAGTTACTCCTTAGTACATCAACTACTTGCCAAAAAAATTCAGGTCAAAATCGGTCTGGCTGGACCGATTTTCTCAGAGATTAGTCGGAACAAACAGACAGACAGATAGACAAAAATTGTAAAAAAATGTTGTTTTGGTATATGTACCGTATTTATATTCATATGCATGTAGTAAAAAAACGGTTATTTCAATATTACAAACAGACACTCCAATTATAATTATATGTATAGATTTACAAAAAAATATCTATATATTCATATCAGTTATAGTATCCACAACACAAGTTCTGCTTATCTTGGGACTAGATGGTGCTGTGAATTGTCCAGGCTAATTATCATTATATTACAGACTAGCTGTACTCGCGACTTTGTCCGCGTGGAACATAACTTTATATTTTTTAAAACAAAAATAGCTTAAGGTACTCCTTATTACATGAGCTACCTGCCAAATAAGTCCCGTCAAAATCGGTCCAACCATTTCAGATATGTCTGCCTGTTTGTTCCGGCTAGGAACAAACAGACAGACAGACAAAAATTGTAAAAAAATGTTGTTTTGGTATATGTACCGTATTTATATTCATATGCATGTAGTAAAAAAACGGTTATTTCAATATTACAAACAGACACTCCAATTTACAATTACAAAAAAATATCTGTATATTCATATCAGTAATCTATAGTATCCACAACACAAGTTCTGCTTATCTTGGGACTAGATGGTGCTGTGAATTGTCCAGGCTAATTATCATTATCATTATATTACAGATGTGAGCAACAATACCGCCTGCATCGACTCCTAGCGTACGACCCTCACAACGAATGCCGTGGCATCTTCGCTGACTGGTTCAAGTTCCCGGCGTGTTGTGTGTGCAAATGTTATGATGTACCAGTCGAGTTCCGCGCAAGATCTCCAAGAATCCACCACCCTCGGTACGACGAGGAAGTCAAAAGGGTTATATACGAGGACGCTGCGAGGGACTGGTACGCAATGTCGGCATTTGGGGATGAAGAAAACGATTTCTTTTGAAGGTGTGATGAATTTTTCTATCTTAATACTTCATTACAAATTATTATGCTAGTCGAATGAAGTGGCTAGTAAAGACGTGGTCATTAAATACTACTTTACTTTCAATGCTTGCGGTTTCAAATTCTCGCGCGGTGCATACATTTGTAGTCATGATTAGATGTTTCCAAAAAAATTTAGTATTTATATCAGTTGTCTAGTACCCATAATACAAGCTCTGATTAGCTTGAAAGTAGATGGCGCTTTCTGAATGGTCCATGGTCTATTGTCTACTGTTATCATTATGTGCGGTTGACGATTCAATTCAAATCAATTTATTTACATATGTACATAATGGTCTTAAGATTATAATAGTTTCAAACATGCCCTGCCGTTTCCGGCATGTAAAATCTTACATTATTATATTTAAAATTATTATTACAATCCATTATTATCATTTAAATAATATTTTGTGGAATAATAACATTTATTTGGTAATTCTTTAAATAATTTACTTTTAAATTGTTTAATATTCAAATTTCTATAATTGTCTGGAAGATGATTGAAAATTTTTATGGCCATACAATATACATTATTTGAAAAAAGTGCCAATCTTTGTTTAGGAACTTCTTTGTTTAGGAAAATCTTATTTTATGCTTTATTTATTTTAAAAAAAAATCTTTTCCAGAATCGTCTGTCGTCTGACACAAGACAGAAGACAAAGTTAACTTAGCCCACCTGGATTAATTTATATTCGAATTAGAAGTTAACATAAAGTGAAGCTCAAATCATGAGCCATGGTTTGAGTAATAGTAAATTTAATTGTATTTATAATAGAATCTCGTAAATGAAATAACCACAGACAATTGCGTTGTAAACTTTAATACAGGGTTGCCAACCCCAAATTTAAAACCTCAAGATTTAAATTTGGAATACCAGGACACTTCAGTTTAAAAAAACAATGAAGTAATAGAATTGCAATAATTAAATTACTATGTAGTGGAAGTATGTGAAATGAAATTCAAGTAATCAAAATAGGCATATTTTTAACAATAGTATTTGAATAAAATTATACGTGTTGATAACGTTTTTATTAAAAGAAGCGGGTGAATTGTAAATTTAGATATCCAGGACACTGATTAATACCTATTCAAGATGTCCCACGACACTTCAAAAACTAGGACATGACCTAGGACCTGGGACAATAGGACGGCTGACAATTCTAACGCTTAATATATTATAAAAGTTAATTACTCAGCCCAGTTGTAAATCTAGTAAACCTAACAGAAAAAAAAACTTTTGCTCATCCATACATTTTGTGTAATAACATTATTTAAGTATTTATTAATTATGGTTATATCAATTGTAATGCTTTTTATTTAATTTAAGGCTAGTGAAATATTGTAAATAGATGTAAATTATTATGTTGATTTTATATAATATTATTAATAAAGTTTAACGTTGTAATATCGGTTTTTAATTTATAAAGTAAATATGTTATTCATATTTTAGCCTATTATTTGCGTTTACCATATTTACGAGTATTTTTATTTTCTAAATTTAATTTTGGATATTTTGTTACCAAACATTCCAACACCATTATATCAAATTTAATTCTAAGAAATCTTAAAAAATACTAAACAAAATTATTGTTATCGACTGAGAAGGATCTATTTATCATTTTGCTTTTATAAGAGCACACAATTACAACGCAATCTCAGAAGAAGGGACATAAAGTATACTCTGATTATGATTATTTGTGTTTGTGCATAAATTTAACGGTCAACAATTTAAAAAATATATTATCGTTAAAATAAAAAGTTTTCTACGTATTGTATATTATCTTATCTGTGGTCTCATCTATATTAGCCGTCAAACAATTTGCTTTGTAACCTGTTTCTGCTGTTGCTTTGCCCCTGAGATGTTACTTTTGCCATTCCCATTATATAAAAAAAAGACAATATATTATCATAGAAAATGTACAGAAAATACAAAACTCAGTAAAAAAAATCTTAACCAAAAATTAGATTAAATTATCAATAATATAAAAACAAAATGTCTAGTTACTTGTTCTTAGCAAATCCTGACAAAAAGACTATGTAAGATAATTAACGAATGACGCAAGAATCACGAGCTTACAATAAATAGAAAAATAAACCTGTCAACTTACAAGGCTTTCTTAACCTTAAACAAATTATATATACACCATCAATCCCCCTAACTTCATTTACTTTTCTGATTGAATTCATAATATTATTTTTAATTTCTAGATTAAAAAAGTAAAAGAAAAATTATCTTTAAAACCTCTTACTAATCTTGATTCGTGTATACGAGTATTTATTTTAAAGTTCATAAAATATACTGAATACTTATTTACTTTATTCAATGTTTTGAAGAACTTCTGCAGCCAGTATGAAATACAAAACATGATCAACTAAATTTTTGAACACTGAATCATAACGGTTGCTATAATTTTGACAACGCATAGTACAACATTTTCATGATAAAATTTGTAGTTCAACCAATCAAAAATATGTGCTCTTTTCATTATTAAATGAGGATATATAAGGGATTTTAAGATTTTAGGCAAAATACGGTAATAAAAGCAAAGTTAGGGGACGGTAGCATAGTTTCAAACATTGCGTCTCTAACTACTGTCAAAAGCCTGACCACTGTCAGACGTCAATGTCACTTCTGTCTGTTATAAACAATAAATGCCAACTGCACGCTCAAGTTTGTTTTTCACTATCTTTGTTTATTGCTCAAGTTCTCATATTCTTCATTTAGATTAGATTGGAATATTAGATTTTCTCAAAATTATATAGAATCTTTTATCTATCTTTCGAAATCGTGAATATAACCTATACAAAATGAGCGGAAGAGTTAAGAAACCTCCGGCGCCTAAGAGGAAAGCCAATGGATACAAAATGCCGTCCCCTATCGCCACTGGTGAAGTAATTCATGATGTGATAGGGAAAAAGAAATGGCGTATCGGTCCTTCGATTGGCGTTGGTGGCTTTGGAGAGATATACTCGGCTTGTGACCACGAGAGCTCGCCGAAAAAAGGATCTCTTTATCCATTTGTTGTGAAAATTGTAAGTGTGTGAACTAGTTCATTTTGGCGCCAGTTTTTATTTTTGTTATTTTTTTTTGTTTTATTATAATTTGTTGTTTTGAGTACAAGGTGTAAATGAGTATGTTAATATATGTTATTCATTCACATCCTGTATTCTTGATAGTATACAGTATTGTTATAATAATTTTCCTGTTCATTAGCTTTCAATTATTAGGTAAGTATATATTTTTATTATTATTTTATATAAATATCTTTTTTTACATATTTCTTATTAAATTTGTTAACAGGAACCACATGAAAATGGTCCATTATTTGTTGAGAAACATTTCTATTGTCGAAATGCCAATAAGGATGATGGTAAGTATTTTTTTGAGTATTTATGTATTTAATAATAATAACTCTGGACAATTCACACAGTGCAATATAGTCTCAAGTTAATCAGAGCTCATGCTGTACCCACAGCACAAGCTCTGCTCTCTATACTGCTGATAGCAATATCTAAATACATTTTATATAAATACATACATACTATATATATAGAAAATGCCCAGACCTATGCAAGCAATCATATTCTTGATTACAAATGTTTGTATCATGTAAGGATTGAAACTGCTACTATCAGAGTTAATAACACGGAGGTTGGCAATCATAATTCAATTATTATATATTTAAAAAGACTTGTTGTCTGTGTAATGATAAAAAAAGTGTACTCTTAGATGTATATCTATTTGTTTTATTTAGTTATACTTAAATAAGAATTAAAAATATATATATATATATATATGTATGTGTGCTTACTAGTACACACAGTATAATCATAGAGCAATTTATACTTGTACTGTATATGTATTGTATTGTATATAAATTTGCTCTGTTTATACTTTGTATTGAATCAAAATTTTTTATCTAACACAGGACATTGACACACATATAACAGCCTGTGATGGTTTTAAAAAAGAGTTACTTAAGCAGTTTCATTAGTACTTTTTTTGTCCTGTAATTCGGGGTGTCTTTTTATTTCTTTTATTCTTTCATCTTATATATAAAATTCTTGGGTCACAATGTTAGTCACCATTCTCCTATGAAACGGCTTGATTAATTTTTATGAAATTTTATATGAGTATTCAGTAGGTCCGAGAATCAGCTACTATCTATTTTTCATACTCCAATAATGTGATAAGGTTTGTCCACACCTTTTTTTTTTATTTATAGGTTTTTTAAATTTATATTCTATAATGTGACTTTAAAAAATACATACAACCCTAAACATTTCACCATTCTACCATCAACCCCTAATTTTTAATAGCAATTTTAATTAAATGGCAAAACAAGTTTGCATGGTTAGCTAGTTTATTCATATAATTGTTTCATTGTCTAGTTGCAAAATTCATGAAGACCAGGAAACTGAGTAGCCTTGGCATGCCCACATATCATGGCAATGGATCTCATGAGTACAAAGGAGAGAAGTACAGATACTTAGTCCTGGAGAGATACGGCAAAGATGTGTGGAGCCTTTTCAAAGAATGCGGAAGAGCATTCCCAGCGGTTACTGTATTTCAATTGGGTTTACAAATGGTAAAAAATATGATATAATATTCAAAGTTTTAGTAATTAGAGTGTAGCTATATAATACATCTCCCAAATTTAGTATCATGTAATATACATATTCAGTCACTGGACAGAAAAAGTAAGCTCAAGAATAGAAAATTATATATTCAAATAAACTTAAATTTAAACACATTGAATATATTTTTTTTATCTACGACTCATTAGGAAAGCTATCTCATCACAATCCACAAATAATGTGGTAGAATAAAAAAAATATGACTATTCAATAGTGCTCTATGAATAAAGATTATTTGGAAGACTGAACTTGAAAGTTTATTTGAATGAAGATTATTGCTATTCATATATAAACACTTTACAAAGTAAAGAATCATATATAAAGGATTAATATAAACACTTTTGAATATTGAGTTTGTTGGAATAAAGATTATTGCTATTTCTGTTATATGGAGTAAAGTAGAAATAATCTTTATTCACATAAACTTAATATAAACACTTTTGAACATTTAGTTTATTTGAATAAACACTATTTCTACTAAACAAGATTATATCAAGATAACTAGTTAAAATTATATCAATTATATTATTTCTTTAAAGGACCAATACACACGTTTCTTGCTCATTCTTCTTGTGATGAGTGTGTTCTGAATGAGTGGTAAAATAAAAAAAAAAAATGTGACTATTCATATCTATAAGTTTATTTGAATAAAACTTATTTCTATTGTATTTTATTTTATTATGTTTCAGTTAGATGTTCTAGAATACATACACAGTCGGGGGTATGTACACGCGGATATCAAGGGTGCCAACATTCTGATGGGCCTCCGGAAAGGCACAGAGAACCAGGCATACCTAGTGGACTTTGGGTTAGCAAGTCGCGTCACGGAGAAGGAGTTCAAACCGGACCCGAAATGTGCACACAATGGAACTATAGAATATACAAGCAGGGATGCACATTTGGGAGGTAGTTATGATTCCTTTACGGACTAAGAACCCATCCTGACATTATAATAATAATCTGATTTACACGCTTAGGGTAGAGTTTTTGTATATGTGAATATTTTTTTGTAAACCAAATCAATTTATAGGATCATATTTTGTATATAAGGTCTTGGCCTTGGTAGTCATGGTAGTCTAGGTAGTAATGGTAGTCTAGCGGTTTAGCACGCTGCTTTACATCCAATGGTCGCGGGTTCCATGTCTCGCATCATCGTGCTAGGTAAACATTTGTGTTCATAAGTATAATTGTGTTGGTTAGATGTTTTATATCCACAGTATTTATAAAAAAATTCTTTCTAAGCGAATACATTTTCTTTTTATCACTGCCTTATATCATTATGGAGTATAAATATGGCAATGATAAAAAAAGAGCTTTTTTTATCTTTGCTAAGCAGAGCTTGTATTATGAATACTAGACAGTACCAAAAACGCAAGCTCATTTTGACCTCTTGACTAAATGGCATATAAAAAGTTAAAGTGTTAAAACCAATAATCCTATTTTAGTGCCTACCATGAGAGGTGACCTGGAGATCCTGGGCTACAATATGCTACAGTGGCTGGTAGGGGAACTGCCCTGGGAGAAGTCACTGAAGCAACCCAAGACAGTCCAGGACATGAAAGAGACATTGATGAAGAATGTAAGAGCCAATATCACGAAACAGTACAGTAACGTACCCGGTGAGTGTATTTGTTATATTAATATTATAAATGCAAAAGTGAGTATGGATGAATGGTTGTTACTATTTCACACAAAAAATACTGAACGGATTGTGATTAAACCTTACAATAATATAGCTTATACATCAGAATAATATAATACTCAATATTGTTAAAAGATATGATGTAAATTGGGCGAAATATAATATAAATGTCATGTAAGGGTGATGCAGACCCGCGTAGCTTACGCGGGTCTGCTAGTGTGTTAGTAAATGGCTGTATCCTGCAGCTCTGTTTGTATATATACAAGTAAAAGTATTCTATATTTTCACTAGATTAATAAAAAACTCGGTACAAAAGATGACAAATTAAGCTTCACTACTCTAGTGGTTTAACAGACCGCTATACTTCCTATATTATGTATTTACAAAAAAATTTAGGTAGTTATATCAGTTATCTAGTCCCCATAACACAAGCTCTACTTAGTTTGGTACTGGATGACGTTGTATGAATTGTCAATGGTTATTATATTATATCTGGAAATAGAAATAATCTTTATTCAAATAAACTCATTACAAGCACTTTTGAACAATCATATTTGATCCTACCACTCATTCGGAACGCAGAGTCATCACAAGAAGAATGAGCAAGAAACTTGTGTGTTGCTCTTTAGAATAGATGTTTTTTTTTATACAAATAATTACAGTATAACAAGTAATAGGCATGCAATAATCAACATAGAAATCATTATTAGTGTAATCAGATAATATTGTCAGCGCTATGGATTTTAAGTTTTTATATAAAAACATTATTATCGTTAATGATCTGGAACATGTCTTATCCACTTGAATGTTAAATAAAATACAAATATCAAGTACTGATTAAATTCTTCTTACTTTTTCAGAAGCCCTCATTAAATTCTTTGAATATATAAACACATTGAAACCCAAGGATATACCAGATTACACAAAATGCCGGGCTTTTTTCGAGAGCTATCTTAAAAGTGAGGGCAAAACGAAAACTAGTAAATTAAATTTTAGTCCTGTTAAGAAAGGGAAACAGAGTAGAACTGGTAAAACTGTGGTTGCTGATAGTGATGCTGACGAGGGAGATGAGGAGGAACCGATAGCAAATGATAAAAAACTAAATGGAGTCACCAAAACTAAGAGAGGAGGTCGGAAACCAAAAGTTGTCTCATCCAGCCCTGAAGTAGAGAATTGTGAAAATGAAGAACCAGACTCTGAAGATGATACAAAGAAAAAAAAGCTCAAACCAACTGTAAGAAAACCAAAAATTGTTAAAAGAAAATCCATTGAACCATCTGTTGTAGTTAAAGTTAAAAAAACCAAATTAGCACCTAAAGCTACTCCCCCCGTTAAGAAAAACCACGTTAATATTGCAACACAAACATCCGTTGAAAAGAGAAGGAAAAGCCCACGTCAGGTTTCATTCGACAGCCCCATATGCGAAATCATTGGAAACAAGAAACAAAATATTTCAAATGGAAGTGATATTAATTCAAGTGGTGATATATTTGATGATTCATTTACGATTGAGGAGAAAAAAGTCAAACCGAGAAGGAAATTGCTATCAAATGAGGAAATCATTATAAAGAGGGTGGTTAAGAAGAAAGTGACGACAACTGTACCTAAAACAAAGTCGTGGAAGGATGCTCCCACGGTTATGAACGGGCGTTCCCCGCCTAAATAACAGAATGTCCCGCATACTTTTTAGGTTGTAATGATTTATTGAGGTTAATGTTAATTTGTACTTATATATGCCAATATAGCGATGAGTTCAAACATTCCGCTATAATATTTTAATTTAATCAAGTTTAACATTTTTATTAAGATCTTATTGAATGTGATTTATATTTTTAATTAAAAAACATGTCACAAACATGATACTGAACAGGGCGTTTATCAAGGTCGAAGTTAGACTAACTCCGAATATTCAAACGTGAGTATAGGCGAGATAAATAATTGAAATAAATTAATCAATAACTGTAGATTTACACAGCGTATTTATTACTATAACTATCATTATTTATGCCGTATCTAATACTAGCGACCCAACCTGGCTTCGCACAGATGCATTACAAATCTTTGAATTTCTCGGCTTGTTCTATACTATAACACACATGCTGAAAACTGCATTAAAATTCGTTGCGTAATTAAAAAGATATAAGCGAAGTGATAGCAGCGGCGCTTTGTTCGCGCTTCACTATGTAAAGACATCTGTCTATAATTGAATCCTATGCAACATACAGAAAGTTAGTATGACTATATCAGTCAATTTCATACAAACTACTGATTATAAATTCTAGAACATATCGCACGCATCATCAACAGTCCCAAAATAGACAAAGCCGTACTTCGTACTAGACAACAGATAGATAAAAGATAACATTATCTTCATTTTTATATTATACATTTGTATCTCATTATTATTACTTTAATTGAATTTAATATCTACATAAATATCAATAATTAAGATTTAAAGACAGTACTCATGCATATTTTTAGAGGAATTATTTTTTAGGTTAATTTTGTAATTGGCGGGAATTTTTTTAAAAATAATTGTAGATGCAGAATAATTCCATAGTTTTGTTTTAATCTATTATTTCCATAGAGTAATGAAGTGGTCACTATTATACTAATCGATACTAGGTTAATCAACAGACTAACAGGAAGATCTTTAATGAATCTTTGTTATATGTTAATTTCAATTATTTTTGATATCTATATTGATTCTTATATTTTGTCATGACATAATATAGGTGTCTACTTATTTTAATAAGAAATTAATGTACAAGTCGTGTTATAAACCTGTTGACAGGTGTTGCAGTTGATTTTTTGTTTATCATGTTGTTGGATAATGAATTGAATGATCTGTATTTTTGGTGTGTATAATAAACAGTATTTCTTTGCTTTTTATATTGCATTTATTTTTTCTCGACATTTCATCAGCAGCTTTTTGGGCACCATTGGATGTCACAGAACGTACTTGGCCAACTCCTGCCTAACGGATACGACATTAGTCTTAGCTCAAGTTTTACCTTGGCTTAGGCCATCGTAATTTCTATCCTCGTTTGAATTCAGCCGCCAAGCAGCTTGTTTTGCAATGTTTCGGTTGTAAGATTAGTAAGTACTTACCTCTTCAGCATTAAATATATATTTATTTATTTTTAATTTTGTATGTACTGTCTTTATCAAATTTATTGTCAGGAGCGAGAGGGTATCGTTAATAATAGAGAATAGTCCCCCTTTGCTAATATAGCAGCTACATCCGCGCGGTCCTCACAGAAAACGGTGGTTATTTTTTTGTTAATTCACCATTATAAGCTACCTGTCCTGACTTCATGCTAATCTTATCCTCCAATGATGTCCGCCAGCATATTTACCTATACCTTTAACGTAGGGAGTACCTTACCATTGTCACCTATAAAAAAAATGTCCACGTAGTCTTGATTTGCTGCATGATTTTCAGCTGTGTTCACACCATTCCTAAGGACTAAAATGTCGTGTATCAACCTGTTATTTTTATATCGCTTATTATAACAGAACCCATTTTGAGCATGAAGCAACAAAATCGGACCTGTTGTATTAAGTGTTAATAATAGCTCATTCTATTATCATTCCAAGCCGGTGAAATATTCCATATCTAAGTAGATACATTTACTTATGCCACCAATTGTCTATCATATTAAGGACAAGGTAGAAAAGTACAATGTAAAGAGGTATGATGGGTCCTTAGGAATGGCAAATCTAATATTTATCTGTGATAAATCGCAGGTATACTATAGAAATTATAATGTACTTTGCGACATCTGTGACACTGTTGATGCATATATATAGGCAACTGTTGTTACTTTTAATTAATGCTATTTTAGGTACATGTAACAATATATATCACTTTGTATAACAAAACAAGTGATATTAGACACTCATGACAAATGTTTGCATTGGGAATCGAACCCACAACAGACTGGCTGTTCATTAACACCATAACCAATAACAATTTAAAAGGTCGAAATAAACAAATGCGCAAATCCAAAGCTTTTATTTTTATTTACAATATTATCGTAATATGAAAGTAAACAAAATGTAACGTACTAAAAAATTAGATTTAGAAAAATGTAATAATGAAACGCCGGCCGAGCGGCGCGTGGCACGCGTAACAGACGAGCGGGCACACGACCGCACATTGTGATATAGTATTATATTAAACGGACGCCAACGTCCATAAACGATTGCAAGTTACAAAAGCTAAACTACGCCTAATTGTACGTGATGCACTACTCGGGCGTGCGTGATATGAGACGCGTTCACGACGCGCGCTACTCCGTCTACAGTGGCGGTACAACAGCGACCAAGCTATCATTGACTAAAACACAAAACAGTAGCACCATTTGTAAAAAAATATAATTTTCCTCCAAACACAACAGAAACCGTCACCGGCGCAGTTTGGTTCGCTGTAGGGACGCGTCGTACACCACGTGGTCGCGCGCGCTAACACGTGCTCGCACGCAACTCGCACGTAACTCGCACGCGGCCCGCCGCGCGCATGCGCACCCAAACGTGTCGAGTTCAACCGTACACACTAAACATACCTATAGTATTTAAACTGTTCTAGATATTACATAATTTACTTACTATTTATCTTATAAAAACCACTATTTACGCCGTTACAGGAACATTTTATGCAAAAATCTGTGTTAACTTGCAATGGGACTAGTATAGATTATAACTCCGACATGTATGGAGTTTAATTTGTATAATTAACATTTATATAAGGCCGCATTCACACTAGCTTTCGATGTCGCAAATACAAGTCTAACCAATGTAAATGAAGCCAACACTCCTTTTAGAATATGCTATAACAATTTTTATAATACATAATGTATATTTTCAACCTGTTTTGTGACCTTGCAATGTGTACCGACATCTAAAGTTTCGTATAAAATTATAAATAATTATATATTTAATTTATTTAACAATTGACTGTAGGAATATGTGGCATATTTTAAAAGGAGATTCTATTCGATCTATAACCATTAGACTATTCTCTTAAGTCATTTATTAATTATATCACACAAGCTCTCACGGCCATCAACTCGTCAACAACTTGTAACAAGTATAAATGATAAGCAAGTATTAGTTATACATATATATAGATTGTATAACAACTCACAAGTAATTTCACAATTTAGAATACATTTTCAAATTTTAAACAATACAATGTATAACGAAATTAACACTTTCCTAGAACACAACTACAAAAACCATAACTATTTTAGTATATTTATATAATATCTTTATATGTTGAATCATAGAAAAATAAACCGTATTACAACGGCATACGTTTTCTAAAATATATTTTTCAACTAGAGTGAATAAGGAATGCATTAATCCCATTATACGTTATATAACATTTCAAACAACATTACACGACGCCATTTTATTAAATATTTGCAAACTGACGTCACAGAGCCGTGCAGTGTGACACAATCAAAAAACGACCTTACATCTCCCCCTCTCCACTTAATCTAGTGTTTAAACTCAACACGTCTTACTCTAATTGGAATAAAAGTAAATGTATATTATATATAATATTATTACGATCTATAACTATCATGGTACTACATAATTGCGAGGTGGCACTAGCTATCTGCATAATGGCTTTTCTAGTACGGCTGCTCGGTTATCGTAATGTACAGTTGTGTCCAATATTATATGTCAAAAACAACATCTACAATTATATTTACAAAAGGACAATGTGTTGAATGAGTCTTTAACTTTGTATATATTAATCTATTATAATTAAACATCAGTTGCGAAGAGTTTTGACTTGGCCGATTTTATATTGTACTCATAATCAACAAGGTAACATTTGTATAAAAGGAAACTTGTAGATTTCAATGTTATATTCGATTAAAAAAATATATTATTTTTATATCACAATAATATTAATATATAAATAATTGTGATGCGTATTCATTATACAATTAAGGGAATAAAACATACATCATTTGAAAGTTACCTACTGTAACATAGACGCGTACAAAAATAAATGTGTGTATGTTGATTTAATAACAACATATTAGTCCTATTCCGACCACAGACAATATTACTATAACAACATCACAAAGTACATTACGACACCTAGAATCGATTGACTTACAGAAATACGGGGGGTCTATTAAGATATTATAAATATAAGTTCGATCGATAAATATAATTTAAGTTTAGTAATTACTAACTAGTGTTTGACGAAATTAATTGTTACTCAAATAAATATTATAAACAAAATATATTTTTTACTTATTAAAATAAAATTTAGTTAAACAATAATCACTATTGTAATTCCAATGAAACTCAATTTTGACTTTGGTAATATAAAGTAAAATCCAGTCGAGTACCTTCGATTCGAATTTATAATTTCAAAATAGACCCCCGACTCGGCCCGAGACAATTTACCTAAGACAAGACATATATTTTGTAGTCAACTACAACGGCTGACCCATCGTACTAAGCTACGTTACGATACCGTCAGAATAAACACGTCAACATTTAAAAACAATTTTATACATAGCTTTTGTGAACTCGCGTTTTGGGACATTTTAGTACTTCCACTCGGTACCTCACCTTTCAAGATCGCTTTAGTTTGCGCTAAAACAAAACTACTAATTCTGAAGCTCAACTTCAATTGGCTGACTAAAATTAAGCCATATTCCATTGCGTCATGACTCACAGTCGTGTAACATTACTTTTAGTAAAGTCACATGACTTATACAAGACTTTCAGTCGCGTCACAAGACTTTTAGCTGTGAACAAGACTTTTAGTCGTATGACATGACTGCGTCATGCGACATTACTTTTAGTAGTGTCACATGACTTTTAGTTGCCACAAGACTTAGTCGCTTCACAAGGCTTTTAGCTCTGTAACAAGATTTTTAGTCGTGTGACATGACTTTTAGTCGTATAATTATACTTTTAGTCGTATATTACGACTTTAGTCGTACACTTAAATCAGTCGCGCTTCGGAATCAGCATTTTCTTACCCAATATACACTTATCAATTCTTTACAAAAACAAAACCATTGTGCTGAAACTTTCTGGCATACTTTTAAAGCTCATATTGTTATTTGATATTGTTATCGACAGCCGGGGATGAGAATCTACACAACTGGCGCGTCGGCCACATAAATAATTCAACAAGCAGACTTCCGTCCCCATACGCAGGAATTCACAATAAATAACTCTTTTCTTTTAATTATAAATTTGGTGTTGACTCAGTCAGGCAGTAATTACAGGTCCCATTACTTCTTATTTTTATTTTCATGCGCGGCGAAGCGTATCAACTATGAAACTAAGCTATTAATGTAGTCAGCAATTATATGTTGAACACACGAGACTAGTAGTCGGATACTACACCGGTTCCGGAATGTAGCGTCTATTTTCATTTATTTCTATACGTCGAATATTTTGCCGTACGAAAACATTCGTCGCATTTCATAACAGTGTAATTGCACTTATGTAAATAAAATGTATTCCTCGGTAATATACACAACAATTCACTATTTACTATTTCCTCGTTAAAATGAAGTCATTCTACATGGATATAACATTATATTGTATTTCACTAATAAATATACAAAGTAAAACCGTCACAATTATTGTATAAATAAATAAGAAAAAAAAAAATAACCAGCCCTGTGTTAAAATCTCAATGAACATTGTTGTAAAATATTTATGTACTATAATTTATATGTAATTAAACATATTTCATTGGGCTGAACACAAAATGACATAGATAAAAAAATAACCAAGCCTGTTGATCAGAAGACGAGTGATAACAATTACTATTCTACATAATACTTATTACACTGGATTTTTAACAACATTTTTATATACTGTTTCTCTAATTACGTAAT